CTTCAGGTCTTGTTTCATTTATTGTAGTTTATCACAGTTATAACAATCAACCTATCACTCTAGGACAGGGGTCGGCAACCTTTTTGATATGAAGTGCCATTAAAAAAGAAAATTGTTATCGGCGAGCCAACGATTATCAACGGGGGGGGTTGAGGAGCTTGACGCTGGTGAACTATCAACAGGAGGGCCAAATTTAACAAATACATTTAAATAATTGGTTTAAACGGCATAATAATAAGGACGATCGTCCGTTCTGTGATTCTCCAGAACACACATGTTATGATATTAGGGTCATGCAGAGTGAAATGAGATCGCTGTCCCTTTAAGAGAGAGAGTGAGCGAGCGTGTGTATGTTTCTGGAAGTGAAACGAGGCAGCAGAAAAACAGAGGTCTGTGATGTATTTTGTGAAACAGAAGAACAGCTAAATAAATGCAACGGCCTCCCAAGAAGAGCTCGCCTCTCTCCAGTCATTTAAGATAAAGTGGGTTATTGAACCTGAAGCTTGTTGCTTCTGCCCTCCTCGACTACGGTCTGGGAGCCGACAGGAAAGTTCAACACACAGATGGCCAGTCCGCCCCTTTGTAGCATATTATTTCAATGAGAGATGAGCAGATCACCACTGGGCTTTCAACTAAAGACACAGCCACGCAAAAACTGCGGCATTTGTACAGCTCCTTATGGATACTGCAATTTGTGCTTTCCTCCGTGGTGAAACGATCAGCACTGCACTACGGAGGAAAGCGGCAGAAAGCCACCTGGAGTTAAACAGAGCGGGGCTGCGTTGCGTGCATGGCTTCCTTCTGCAGGTAACGGGGAGACGCGCTCTGGCGGCGGTCTCGTTTAGGATCCGAAAATACAATTTAAATATTTTGCACACTTATTCCACTTATTCCTAGTGTGCCTAGTTGCCGACCCCTGATCTAGGACATCAAGTTTAAATTCCTTATTCCTATGGGCAATGTTAAATGTAAGTTCACCCATCTAAACAATTTACTTACCACTTTTAAGATATAGGTAAGTAAATATTAAAGGTCCCATGTCATGGCCATTTCTACTGATCATATTTCCATTGTTGAGGTCTACTAGAATAGATTTAAATTGTGCAATTTTCCAAAATCACATTGGTTTCTCATACAGCATCTCTGTATAGTATGTGTATTCACCAGGTATTCACTCTCTGTCCTAAAAGGCTTGTTGGAGCTCCTGCCCCCCCCCTCCCTGTGAGCCCAGTGTGCTCTGATTGGTCGGGACGTTGCGAGGCTCGTTGCGAGGCTCGTTGCGAGGCTCGTTGCGAGGCTCGTTGCGAGGCTCGTTGCTGCTCGCCGCTGCTGTGAGCTGCTGCGAGGAGCGGACAGGTTTCCGGGTCGGCGATACAGCGAAACACAGTGAAACTCATCATGAGCACACACAAACACTCACAGCCGAAGTAAAAACAATAAGTGTGGCTTGATATTGAGTAAGAAAATGGTTTAGAACGCTGTGAGAATGGGTCTGCGGAGAGCATTTCTCCGCGATCCCAACTCGTCAATTATCAGCGTTCAGGGAGCTCTATGCAAGTCAATGGGACTCCCTGTTAGTTAGCCAAGGGATCCTGGTGTGTGAGGTGCTCTGCGGATTGGTCCATTTGGGCCAATCCGGTCATTTGTTGTTGATTTGGGTGTTCACATGTCACAGAGCCCAGGAAGCAAACAATGGAAAATGAGAAATCTCCAACGAGGCGTTCTGGGGCAGCATAGACAGGTATTTTCTGTGTTAGAGTTTTACTCGCTACAGGGTGTACTTTGAGGGTTTTTGACTCTGCAGACCGTTTACATGCATAAAAACCTTCATAACACACAACCGGAAAAGCATGACATGGGCCCTTTAAGACAAAAAGGTAATCATTACTCCAATGAATTGTATAATGCATTCAACTTCATCTGAGTCATTCATTCATCCATCATCTTTAACTGATGTTTCATTATCTTTATGTTTTTATTAACATTGAGTTTAAGGTAGATTGATTTTCTTTTTTTCATGTGTACTGTTTTTTTATAATGTACATTTAAATCAAATGAAATCATGATTTCACCAAAACCAATCATAAAAGCCACACACTATAACAAATATTCCCTTTTGGGCTTGACAAGTAGTTGATAAAAACAAGTATCATAGAACGCTATACAAAGCAGAACAAAAAACACCTGGTTCATTTTACTGATGGTCATTCTTGTCGTAGTTTCCATTCCCGTCATGTAAAGGGTTTTGCTGTAATCTCTATTTCATTGCCCTTATCAGTCCACTAAAGTCACACAGATCATAGTGCGGTATTAAAGAGCCCATGTCATGCTTTTCCGGTTATTACCCGTCCCCTTGTGTGTTATGAAGGTTTTTATGCATGTAAACGGTGTGCCGAGTCACAAACCCTCAAAGTACACCCTGTAGCGAGTAAAACTCTAACACAGAAAATACCTCCCCAAAACGCCTCATTGGAGATACGTCATTGTCCATTTGATTCTTCCATTTCGTTCCGGGTACGGCATGATGTCATGCCGTACCCGGAACGAAATGGACCAATCCGCGGAGCCGTTACGTTACGTCCGCGGAACCGTTACGTTAAGCCCCCGCTGATTGGTCCAAATTTACCAATCCACGGACTTCCTCACACACACACACTCAGTGCAGGGAGCTCTGCTGATTTCTCCTCCCTGTGCAGGCTGATAACAGGCAGTTGGGATCGCGGCAAAATTCTCTCTGCAGACCCATTCTCACAGCGTTTATCAACCTTTTTCTTACTCAATATCAAGCCACACTTATTGTTTTTACTTCGGCTGTGAGTTTGTCACAAGCTTGCATTCCATCCTGTCTGAAAACGGCTACCATCATTCCTGTCCCCAAAAAGACACCAGTCAGAGAGCTCAACGACTACAGGCCCATAGCCCTAACATCGGCGGTGATGAAATGTTTCGAAAGACTGATAGCCGACTACATCAAAGCCAGCCTCCCACCCTCCCTCAACCCTCATCAGTTTGCCTATTGAGCCAACAGATCCACGGATGATGCCATCGCCACGGTCCTTCACACAGCTGTGAGCCACTTAGAAGGCCCAGGCAACTATATAAGGATGCTGTTTGTCGATTTTAGCTCAGCTTTTAACACCATCATACCTGACATACTAGTGGAAAAACTGTCAAGCCTAGGTTTCCCCTCCATTTTATGCGCCTGGATTAATAATTTCCTAACAGACCGTCCTCAGACAGTGAAAATAGGCCCTTATTGCTCCTCCACCCGCACCCTCAGCACTGGCTCCCCGCAGGGCTGCATGCTGAGCCCGCTACTCTACACACTCTACACACACGACTGCTCTCCCATTCACCCCTCCAACTCCATTATAAAATGTGCAGATGACACCACTGTGGTTGGCCAAATATATAAGGGAGACGACGAGTCGGCATACAGAGACGAGATCCTGAAGCTGTCTGCGTGGTGTTCAGCTAACAACCTACATCTGAACACAAGCAAAACAAAAGAAATCATCATAGACTTCAGAAAGCACCGTCCAGAACACGCCCCCCTTCACCTCAATGGAGAGAGAGTGGAGAGGGTCTCCACCTTTAAGTTCCTGGGGGTTCACATTTCGGAGAGCCTCAGCTGGACAGCACACACCACTGCAGTAGTTAAGAAGGCCCAGCAGTGACTACACTTCCTGAGGGTGCTTCGGAGAAACCGACTGAACAAGAAGCTGCTGGTGTCCTTCTACCGGGCGACCATCGAGAGCGTGCTGTCATACTCCATCTCGGGGTGGTATGCAGGATGCTCAGCTGCGGACAAGAAAGCCCTGCAGAGAGTGATCAGGATGGCAGAGAAAACCATCGGCTGCCCCCTGCCCTCTCTGGAACACATCTCCACCTCCCGCTGCCGCAACAGAGCTAACAAAAATAATTAAGGACAGCTCTCACCCAGGTCACAGACTGTTCTCTCTCCTGTCTTCTGGGAGAAGATACAGGAGCTTCAAGTCACGGACAAACAGCCTCAAAAACAGTTTCTACCCCTGGGCCGTCAGGCTGCTTAACCACCAAACATAATGCAATAACCATAACCATTCTCACACATACACACACTTTTAATGCACTTTATATACTATTTTTATATCAATATTTTTAACTATTTATTCCCCCGTATGATTGTTTATGTTGTCTGTCCTATTGCCGTGTTTTTTAGTGTTCTGTATGTGTTTGTATTTTTTGCACACCGGGACAGAGTTGCACTCTGAATCTCGTTATACTCTGTGTACAATGACAATAAAAGGCTTTAACTTTAACTTGTGTGTGCTCAGGATGAGTTTGGCTGTGTTTGGCTGTGTATCGCTAACAAGGAAACAACACCTCCACGGAGCTCAGCGCGATTCACAACGTCCCGACCAATCAGAGCACACTGTGCTCACAGGGAGGGTGGGGGCTGGAGCTATTGGAGCTACAACGAGCCGTTAAAGGCATAGAGTGAAATTCAGTGAATACACGTAGTTTACAGAGATGCTGTATGAGAAACCAATGTGAGTTTGGAAACATGCACAATATAAATCTATTCTAGTATACCTCAACAATGGAATTATGATCAGTGGAAATGGCCATGACATGGGCCCTTTAAAGTTATTGACTGGGGTGTTTTTATCACAACCTGATCAAATCAGTGCGAAATTGTTTTCGCCATTTTTTTTCTTTATTTAGGTTTGGTTAATTTCCAGGCGTTTGTTGAGATCAATTTGTAACGACAGCCAGGAAAATTAATTAAAAGCCAATCACAAAATAATGTAATTAACTTATTGCTTTCCAGTTTAATTTTCAAGTGTAAGCTACTTTTATTCTCAAACATAAATCTATCAAAAGAAATGTCAGCGATAGCAGATGTGGTGCTACCTGTTTCTCTTTTCTATTGTAAATAAGTATGAAGATGGCCAAAAATATGCCCTTTCGTATTCAGTTAAGTGAAATGATGTGCAGGAAGGAACAAAACAAAAATAATTGATTGGTCAACACCAGGTTTAATAGCAGAAAATACAGTTAAAAAATGTGCAACATTAAGTGAACTATTCCACAGTTTTTCCCAAATATTATTAGAAAGTTATTATCAAAAGGAAAAGAAAAGTACTTTAAATCGAACTCATTTATATACTTTACATATATTAGTATTTACTTAATAGGAAGTAATGCCATTTTGTGCAAATACTGTACAGTATGTCAGTATGTTAAACAAACACCCAAGAAGTGCTGAAAAAGTGCTGATTAGGAAATGTCTTTAATGGAAGACTGTATCATTGAAACATATTGAGAAAAGCAACACTTATTCTAAATCCAGGTTGCTTATTCCCATGTTAACGACAACATCTGACAGCTCATATCCCACAGCTTCTGCGCCACGACGTCATCTTTACCAGCTGCCGAACAGTTGGCAGGAGCACAGTCGCTGTATGAAAAGGCAAATTACAAGATATAAGAGTGGCGTTAAATATTGATAAATCATCTCTTTCATACATTCAGTGCAGGTTATTTAATACACAATGAGTTTATGGCTCAATCAGATAGTATTCAATCCATATTTCTTAACTTGAAAGTGATTATTTAAAACGTATCTTAGGTAATAACTTATTGGGAAATAGTAACTTCTTGCTTTCTTGTTAATACAATCTTATCTACAAGCCAACTATTGTATACTGGAAAAGTATGTCATTTGCAAGTAAAACATAACAGTGTCTGCTATTCTAAGTATGATGGGTAATAAACAAAGCCATCTATCTGTTATATAGTGCCGGTCACAAACAAATCTAACTAGATATATCATGTTAAGGTAAGACTGAATTGCCCATACCACAATTAAAATGTCACCGCTTGGGTTAATATATATTGTTTATAAGATCTGTGATTGCCAATCTTGAAAAAAAAGGAAGCAACTTATAAAATGGGGGATAAAAAAATTGTGAGTAAAACACACAATTTTAAAGATTAATGTCAGGAAGCTTATTTTCTAAGTTGTTTTGCTCCCAAATGAATTAATTAAGTTTTTAATAGCTGGATTTGGTAAAAATGTTCTGAGCTTTTAAATGTTAATTTACAACTTTAATTTAGATTAGTGTCTTCTCGGAATATTACACAATTCCCTCAGCTCCATAATCTTTTTTGTATGGCCCTAATATGCAACGTGTAACAAAAACAAAAAACTTTTTATCATTTGTTTTATCTAAAAAGGAGAATTGTTTCTTGAAGTGTTGTCACAACTTGTAGACAATAAAGTAATTACTTATTACTTGTTCACTTCCAGTTATCTTTTTGACCTCAACAATGGTATCAGATGATGTTGATAAGAAATATTTGATGAGTTGCAGAAATGTACCTGTAATATCCACCGCTCTCTTTATCCAGTGATGGTTCCACTGCGCAGTAAATGCTCGTCTGAGCTCCCTGGGAAGAGTTTTTGGTGAAAGGACTGACCATCTTCATGATGGCCCGTTGAGGGGCGTTTAGATGACGCCATAAATCTGTCTGCACGACTCCAGGATGTAGAGAATATGTCGTCACACCTGTGCCTGAAAGACATCAAATTAATGTCACTGTACAACAGGAGTGAAACAGTGTGTGAATAACAGAAAGAAAGTACAACAAATGCATAAAATCACGGATATGAGGGTATGACGCACACCTTCTAGTCTCTTAGCCAATGAGCGGGTGAAGAGGACATTGGCTAGCTTGCTCTGAGAGTAGGCCCGGTTCTTGTCGTAACTCTTCTCGCTGTTTATGTCCTCCAAATTGATGGAGCTCCAGGAGTGAGCCATGGAGGACACCGTGATTATCCTGGCTGGTGCCGATCTTTTAATCAGGTCAATCAACAAATGTGTCAACAGGAAGTGGCCTGGAGAACAAGGACATGACTTTCACAATCAATTCATACATTGAGAAAACGGTAAAAGGCACCTTATGATGCAAAAGTAATAATTAAGGAATTTAAGTTTTGTTCTACATTTCCAAGCTTCATATACTTTACAGAATGGCTGCTGAATATCCCTTACTAATAGGTTTGTATCCAGAATCTACACTGTATCAAATAGATGTTGTGATGAGTGACAAATGTCTAAGTTTAAGGATAGTTAAACAGACACTCTGAGATCATAAGGGCAATTACATGTCAGTATATTTGAATATTGCTACTTAAACTATTAACTATCAACTGAGAGGGACTGTAACTGACAAATTGCTCGGGAAACCTACACCAAAGTAAAAAAACAGTACTAACTAACATAAAAACTGGGCAGCTAGACAATGGAAAAAGCATCATGTTGATCAATCCAAGATTTGGGAAATTATGTTGCTAAAGTTCTGTCATTACCATTGAAAAAAAGTCCAAAAAAGCTATCTTTACTTCTTTATCATTTCAATGTATAACAATCTATAGTGTATTTTCTTTGATACAATTAGCTCTGCTTACCTAACCGCCAACTAAATGCAGATTAAATAGATTTTGACAAGTAAGAACATGACTCCATAATACTAATATTTTGGTGTCAAATCATATATTTTGTGCTGGATTTCGACAAAGGACAGGCCATGCTTGACTCACATCTCTATCGGAGTCCTTTCCTCATGACACACGTAAGAGCACTACATAATGTTATTTTTTACCAAAGTGATTGACACCGATCTGCATCTCAAAGCCATCTGCTGTTTTCCCATATGGACAAACCATCACACCAGCATTGTTGACGAGGATGTTTAGCTTCGGCTCATCTGTACAAAACAACATTAAGAAGTTATATGTGTGTGGCTTCAAAGATTTTAAATGTTTACAGATTCCTAAGGATGATATTAGCTAACCTTTGTTGATGGCTTCAGCAAATTCTCTTATCGATTTGCTATCTGCCAAGTCAAGTTTCATGCAAAGGACATTTTCGCTGCCCGAGCGTTCGATGACTTCTTTCTTAGCGGCCTCCCCTCGCTCCATGTCCCTGCAGGCCATGATGATCTTTGCACCTAAACAGAAGAATAAACAGCAGTGAGTATAACAGCAGGTGAAGAGCACCCCCTTGTGACAAAAGGTGTACATTATGTGTAGTGTATTTTACAAAAATAATTAAGGGGAATTAGGAGAGACATTATTAACCTCTTAGAAGTAAGAAGTGTGTTTTTTTTCCTTCTATGTCATAGACCTTTTAAAAGAAAATATAACTCAATTTACTGGGTTTTTGAAATGTTTAGTTTAGGATGCAGATTTTACAATCCAATCCAACTGATGTCTACTTGTTTGAAGCATCTGCATGAATATATTAAATTACATGAAAGAAATAATAATGTGTGTGACTTATGTTCACATTGAGGGACAAATAAGTTTCACATTCATCTTACTAGACAATATTTAATGTAATTTAAATGTTATCATATTTTTCCTTAACTTTCGTAATTTATTAGAGCTTGGTACCTGTCTAAACCAAAATCTGTACAATTGATTGTCTCAGGTAACCATCGCTGGCTTGATCAGATTCCTATGTCTTATTATCTGATATTTTATATAGATATTTGGCTCTATAAATATATATTATAGATGTACTTTGATTGTTCTTTTGTAGGACCTCTATTCAAATCTAATCACAAATTAATTCAATGTCATTCCAGTCACATTTTTCACATTAAGCAGTTAATACCATTTTTTTTGTGAATGTCAACCTCTTTATTTCTTTGGTATAGCTGCCCTGTGTTGGGACAAAGTGAAAAAAACATGAATATGGCTTAGTAGTGTTTTAGTAGTAAATAATGTGTATATTTCCCTCGATGTGAAGCCATACTCAATATTGTTGTGGTATATATTAGCAACAATGTCAACACATTTTAGAAGTGGTAAAACACTACATGATCCAAGAGTCCCTTTTACAGAGCTAGATAAATCCTAATATTTGATGTGAGGACCAGTATAATGTGTACCCACCTCTCTTCGCCAGGTCAATGGCTGTCTCTTTTCCGATACCTGTGTTGGCTCCAGTGATGACAACAGTTTTGTCCTCCAGCCTCTCAGCAGAGGACCAGGCCGACCGGAAGAGGTTTCTATGGAGTTGAGAAATCACTGTTGCTTAACTTTAGCTGACTCAAGCAGCTGAATGGGTGTGACATAAGATAATATAAAGTAAATATGCTTAGAACAAATACTAATATACTTTCAACTAAGTTAAAGAAACACGACCTACCATACACTATTATGTAGTACTGAATTTATTACAGTCTTCTACAATTAGGCTATTTTCCCATGTATGGATAATTTAAACGAACGTACGCTATTTACACAGATTAAGTACTGTCATGAATGTATCAAGTCCTCACCTTATACCCTGCATCTCACTTGACTACAGCTGTCAGGTTGGTGTAAAACCTTACGAACAAACGTTCAAAACAAATGTTTTAAAAATTCTAATTCAACAGCACCACTAACGTCACGAAAAAGTATGTTGGTTAAAAATGCGGAAGTGTGAATTAATTGTCATAATTTATTGGCTGGGATTTCAGCCAATCAGTTGTGACCCGGTCTCTCTCGGACAACACGGATTGGTTGAGCTTCAGGTTATGGGCAAGATCTTTGTGTTGGGTGTGTTCGATTATGAACGCGGGCCATTGCCGGGCGGGTGGGGAGTACATTTCACAGTAGAAACTAAACTACAGTTCTTTATTTATTTATGTAAATGTGATCAGCGACATATTTTAAACATCATCTACTTTAATTTGTTTATTTCAATCTACATTTTTTTAAACCCTGTAAAAATAGTACAGTAGGCCTACAATTAGAGTTGCAGCAAAAGTTGTTATCATAAAAATGAATATAGACACAGATAAATAACACACAACATTTTTATTTTTATTTGACTGGACATTGTTTTATCAAACCAAATAAATAAGCGATTTTAACTAATAGCCATACAGGTCTTATTTTTGCAGTCTTTGAACACAACATGTACATCACACGATACACTTTTCATTGGATTATGATTACAATACAAAAAAAAGAGTATGTCCTTTCAATACAAATAAAATAAAGTAACAAACAAACAAAACAAAAAAAGATCCGCTCCCTCTCTAGACCAAAACATACCTCTCCAGCAGGTGGCAGCAAATGACCACCCACCGCCGTGAATCAGCTGAGGGAGACTGTTTTACTTTGACACTAGCCCTGTGTTGCTGTTATGTCTATAGACAGATTAACAGGCTGGTATTTGGGTAAGTCTTGTCCTTGGCTGAGATCTCACTATGTTGGGCAAATAATTAGCCATAAACAGAAATGACCCATCAAAGATCAGCAAAATCCACAATGAACCCATAACTCAGGTCAGCTCCTATAAGTACCTTGGTTTCTAGATAATAATAGTCTAGATAATACACTCAGCTGGAAGGCGCATGTTCAAGGTCTGTGCTCTAGACTTCAACAGCGGTTATACTTTCTGCGTCGACTCTGGGCTTTCGGAGTCGACCAGAAGTTCATGTTACTGTTCTATCATGCAGTGTTGGAGAGCATCATGAGGTATGGTATTACTGCCTGGTATGGTAACTTGACAGTGCAGTTAAAGTCACAGATCGCTCGCCTGGTACAGACTGCTAAGAAAATGAAGGGGGTTAAAAAACACCCATCTCTCCAAAACATATACGAGCAGTCCATTATCAGACAGGCAAAACAAAATTGTGTCTGATCCCACCCACACACTCCACCCAGAATTCCAGCTCCTACCTTCTGGTAGAAGATTCAGGGTTCCCAGAGCAGGCTGAACCGCTATCAGCACTCATTCCTACCTATGTCGATTAAGCTTCTTAACATTCACATGAAATGAAATGTAGTCAAATGTAATGAAATGTACTTTTTAAATGTTGGCCATGAGGGTTGTGCAATAGGTCGCCATTGTCAGTATGTGCGTCTGTGTATTGTGTTTGTTCAAACGGTGTATGACTGATGATATGTGTATGTCTCTTAATGTCCACTATGTTTGTATATGTACATGTATGCAGAACTGCAGGACGGAGTCCAGAACAAATTTCCTTACGGGGACAATAAAGTATATCGTATCGTATCGTATCGTATCGTAAAACCCCATGAATGGCTCATTCATACCTTAGATACATTATCACGGCATACAGTGGGATTACAGGCTGCGGCTGGACCATAGACTGTATGGACAGAGGCCTTTAAAACAGGAAACATTGCACCGTCATCAACTGATTGTGCGTAAGAAAACATTTCCTTCCCTTTTCTCTGGGGGATCAGTCAGCAAAAAAGTGCATGTGTATTATGTGTGTGTGTGTGTGTGCATATATGCAGAACAAAGATAGGTAGGAGTGTGCATAATTAGATTAAAAACACCAAATGAACTTTGTGTGCACTCATCCTGATTGCATCCTCTTAACCCTCTACCTCCCCCTCTTTCTCTTCCTTTTCCATGTTTATTTATGCAACAAGTGGCGCCTAGTGGGACAAGATTTGTTTTAGGTGGCTTTTAATTTTTTACCTCATATACTGTAGTCAACATGCCATATTCATTATTTTGTTATGTAACAGGTGCTCTGTAATTAAACAGGTAAACAAACAAATAATTACATAACCAAGAGGATATACTTTCCAAGAGGACCGGTGACTTTTTCAGTTTTTTTATTTTTATCTTTTTATTTTTTTTATTCAATTTTTTTATTTGCATTTTAAGAAAATATTCACAAACCATACATAACAAAAATAAACACATCTAGGTACATATAGATTAACATAACAGATGACAAATATGAACATAAATTATAAAATAATAGTAATAATAATATTACAAATAAAAGAATGGATACATTATTAATACTCAGGTATACATTAATTATATTGTTCTATACTTGCTCTAACCTTTTCTGTTTTTTTAAGGTACATTTTAATGATATGACACAATGTATCTGCCCATGATTCTTCCCTTTGGATGCTTGCTATTGTTGATTGGCTTCTGTTTTGTCATTAGTGAGATAACATCAGACAAAACAGTTTACCTAAGTTATAACTGGCGCCGCATAAGCAACTTCCCAGAGGCGAACAACAATGGGAAAAGCAGGAGGATGCTCTGAATAAACGATGAGAACAATCCATTAGCTATAATTGGATATTAACTTTACTTTGGCAGAGAGACAGAAAGACGATGCAGGGTTTTTTTTTTTATACAAGTGAGCTCAGAAGAAAACCATTTTTTGTTGATTGTGAAAGGTAATGACAGTGCTTTAAGGTACATTTAGAACAGATAAAAAAATTAAGATTAATTTGCGATTAATCGCGATTAACTATGGACAATCATGCGATTAATCGCGATTAAATATTTAAATCGACTGACAGCCCTAAGAATTACACAATCCATTCAAAACAGTTCTGGAAAAGGTCATTTGGAGACACCTGTATGACCTGGGGAACATTAAAAAAAGATTGTGTGGGAGGATTTATAGCACTGAGAAACCTGTCAAAATATGTCATAGAAAATATGTTTCAGGGGCACAGCTGCTATCAAACACCTTAGGCTGACTGCTGCCTGTACAAGAAAAAGAAGAAGAAGAAGAAGGGATTCCTTAATAAAAAATATGTGAAACTTTTAGTACTTTTGGCGCCATTTATTTATTACCAACCAATGTTAAAATGTTGACCGTATTAAATAGGTGAAATGGCGTCATCAAATTCTCATGAAGTGCTCGTGTTTTAAGTGTTTGTAGCAACATGTGTACTCCTTGTTGAAGCATTGCTATATCATGCTATTATTGCAGATGGCACATGTCCACAATATTTCATAGATAAAGTCATACACCTTTGATTTTATTTGAAAGTTTGAGCTGTTATTTTTGTACCCTGGAGCATGTAGGTCTAGAATCTTTTTTTGGTGCACTGACACATGCCTGACAAATAGCATTTAGCCGCCAGGAGTGCAGTTTTAAGTGTCACTCATTCATTTCTCCCTGAACTATGCCTTTTTAAGCAGTCTGAGGGTGGAAAACATGGCTGACTCAATATATCTTTATGCCAAAATCTCACATATAAACTTTCTTTGCCAATATAAAGAAAAAGACTGCGCCTAAAGTTGGAAGTGTCCATGAACAACACAGCACACACATCATGTAAGAGACAGAAAGAAGAACACAATGTGGTGCTTTTCATTTGATGGCTGTTAAATCAGACATTTCTAACATGTCATTACCATGTCACTTAAGAACTTATTCTGGATTAGTTTTATTCAAGATAGTTTCAGACTTGTCCAAGCATCAGATTACATCCTATCTCACACCTCCATCACACCATCATAACGAATGTTTCAAGCTTTAGTTTCATGTTGTTTAAGGTGTCTCTCTCTATGAGGTGGGTCCTGTTTCTGTGTCCCTTGCTCAAGATTCAGGCTCCAAAATACGTGTTTACCAATATAGAGTAAGTATGGGTCAGTCTCATCAACATTAAAACACTGTGCTGATAATTAAATACAAATAATTGTAATTAGAAAAATGTGTTATTGCACTCCTAAAGTGCAGAGGTGTAAGAAGTACACAGATCTTGTACTCGAGTAAAAGTAGAAGTATCAGAGTGTAGGAATACTCTGTAAGTAAAAGTATTGCAGTCATAATGTTACTCAAATTAAAAGAACAAAATAAGCATCAAAATATACTTAAAGTATCAAAAGTAAAAGTAGTCATTGTGCAGATTGGTCCATTTCAGAATAATATATATGATATGTTTTATAATGATTGATCATTAGAGTGTTATCAAAGCTGGTAAAGGTGCAGCTAGTTTTAATGACTTTGTATACTGCAGGGTAGCTTGTGAATGTTATGTCAGGTTTAAATAAAGTTATTTTTTAATGTGTTGCTTATATTTCATATTATTAATACAAATCTGTAAAGTAACTAAAGGTACAAAATAAATGTGCTGGAGTAGAAGTACAAAGTAGCATCCCTGTAAGGCCCACTGTTGTAATTTTACAACATTATTTTAAGCTATCCTAAAAAAGTCAGTAAATGTTTTTTTTTTTAAATACTACATTTACATAGTCAAAAGGTCCTTTTGTTCAGCCTCACAATGCTATTGGGTAGTAAATGTGTTTATAGGTCCTGCCCTCTGGAGCATACACTCACACAACTTCCAAATCTTCAAACCAGCAAAATCTCTTTGTTTTATTGGACTGGATTTGTCAGATTCAAGTAAGTAAAATGCCTCAAATATTTTTTTTTGTGATTATTACAATGTCTAGATTAGAACATGTACATATTTAGTTATTGTGGAATACATTCATCAAATTAGATTTTGAGCAGTTTATGTCTCTGTTGTAATATTACAACACTGGTCAGTGTGAAATTATATCTGTAGCAATATTTTAAACTCTTCTTGTATCTTATCAGTTAATTAGTTACAAAAATACATTTAACTCTGGTTCTGGCAGAAACAGTTTCTGAAATGTTTTGGGACACTTGGATGTAT